GAGTGCTTGTTTCAGATTGTAAGCAATATTTGTAACGAATATATCAAGAATATCTAACGTATTTCTAAATCTTGGTGGCGTCAAAATCCACTCCTTGACAACGCCAATTGTGTTGCAACCTACACCATCATACAACTGTTGCTCTAAAGCCGTCGCTCCTGTTGCAATTGATCTCAATTGCATACGCATAAAATTTGTATCATGAACCCGAGATACGATGATCCGTTCCTGCAGAGAATAATATCATACGTGAGGCTCCACATCTCTATGCGCGGTAGCAAAGCACCTCAGGTGGTCAGGAAGCCACCGCCTAAACTCTCATTAAGCGCTTCCAAATGCCCAACTAATGAGGCGTCATCTCTTTTTCGTAAATTTTATCGTCAGTACCTCCATGATACGAGTAATTTTAAAACGAAGATGCCACTACAGATTCTGAGGAACTTTCGGTGCTCTTAAAACATTCTATTTATTTGTCGATATAAGAAACGTTCTCAAGGAATCAAATCTATTTCCATCGCTATTTTAAAAGTTAGCATTATTACAAGTTATTACTGAAACTATTCCTGGATGACTTGATAATCATGTCAAATGATCAAAAATCTCACCAAAGTAAAGATCGCATTGATCTGTTCAGCATGCGAGATCAGTTGAAGGTTTCAGAGTTTCGAATTATTCTCAAATTTACTATCATTTATTATTATTTCTATCAATCGATTTGCATCTTTTGACCGTTACATTACAAGGTAACTGTCAGTTACCGCTGAGGTGCAGGTGTACTATCATGTGTGTCGAGAGATAGAGCTATTTGGCCGGGCTTGGCCACAAGTGTTCTTTCGGGGTCCCGGGACCCGTTACATTATTCACCAGTCTACACGTTATATTCTTAACCATTACGTCCGTTACTCCATAGAGCGTGGTGCGGATATAGCATTTTATCATGACTACGTTGACTTGCATGAGTGACTTGTATGTGTGGTGATATGTATACGGCGCCTGGGGCTGAGGGCGCTGAAGGCCAGTCACGTTGGAATGGCAGGTGTTTGGGAGACGCACAAGGCTGCTCTGCCACGATCGCTGCCTCCTCCTCCTTTACCTGCTATACCTGCTACTCTGACCGTCCATAGATGCGGGTTGCGGTATAGAAATGCCATATTTTTCTTCATGAAAAGGTTCAGGAACTTCTGGTCAAAGGCAATATTTTTTTGTTCCGAATAAATGGCAAGTTTAAGCACAATTCGTCCCTCAGTATAATCCATTCAACATTAACGTTAGCAAGGCCGAGCTGGACTGGCAAATTGATTTAGGTGTAATAAACTGAAATGTGAGGTTAACTTCGTGTCCCGTGCGAATGAAATTAAGAATATTTGAAGCAGACATTGAAGAATTGTTGGTGTCGAAGCTTCCAGAATTAGGCGCTTCAACCAACATTGGAGTCTGAGCTTGAGGCTCTGGCGGTCATGATCCCTCCCGACTTGATGAATATCCCACTAGCGCATGCGCCTCGTTAGCGAGCGCATTGCACCTTTCATAAGGAGAGCTCAAATACTAAGAGAACCATTATGAAGCCTAAGTTTTGACGAGCCTTGTTTCTTTTTGTAGAGATCAGTGACGCCATTACTGGGGTAAGCCAGCTATAATGCAGCTGCTGCAGTGTAGCGCCCGCACTTCTATTTCTGATGTGTGGGTACCATGCATGTATATACGCAACCCCATCTGCTTGCCAGCCTCAGCCGGCCGTCTTTTGTTCTCTATAAACATCGCGGCCTGCGCTGCAGCTCGTGCCAGCTGGCACGCCATCTTATCAATATTGTCAATTGTAGTGCGCGCTTCTCATTCTTTGTTATTCTACCGAGTTTATGATGCTCTTTTTTGTTTACTTCTATTTCCTTCAACATTCAAACTTGAAAATTTGAGTTGCAATGAAATTACGTTTTAATCATCACCAATCAATCAGCCTTGTTCTTAAGAGTCGCCTCATCAATTCTCTCTATAATCCTGGCTCCGCATAATTTACCATTGTCGTTCTATAATTTCCTGGACTGTCAATAATGACCACAATTTTCCATCGTGCAAATCTCTCATTTATTGGAATAATATTTATTGTCTTCTTTGAATTATTATCCATTACATTTCCCCCGCTTCGCTCAATGGGCCATGAGCTCAAATGTTGCGGAAAAAAGGTATTTTTCGGTATCTAATTAGGATTCGTCACGATGATGCATGCGGGGACAATAAAAATAATCCCGCAATTCCCATGCGTGATAGTTTGCGTTGTGATGGTTGTTAAAGGTACTGGCAATGTTGGCCGTGTCGCGGCGCAGTAGCTCGTATTATCGGAAGCAGCTGCTGTCATGCGTGTCCTCGAGGTGCATTTTTCGAGCGTGATGGTGCGGCGATGATTATAAAGCTCATGGTGTGTGGCAATCGCCTCTCCAAAATAAGCAGAAAAACTGCTAGAAATGAAGCTCTTGGAGCAGTTTTATGTGCACGTCGTGATCTTTTGCGATGCGGCTCCCTTATATTTACCGTGTATGATGCTGGAAGCTGTAAAACTTAGAGAAGTATTATGCGACCGTACCCTGTAACTTAGTAATAAACTTGCTCACTATCAGTACTCCTGCTGTCTCTTTTATGGGCATTTATTATAAGTGTAATGGAAGTTGCCGGAAGTACTGTAGTCTCTCGCGTTGTCCTTGACATTTCGATCTCCTTATTCCCACTGCAATGGCTACACCAGCGGGACGGTCTGTGTCTGATTTTTTTCACCTTTAATCTGTCGGTATGATAATAGAATCGTTCTTTTGCATTCTTGCTTTGTCGAAAAATAGCCTTGCTTAACAAGTGCGCAGCAGCACTCAAGTGTGAAGGATCAGAGCGTGAGTGCTGCAATACTCGTCACGTGACGCTTCCTGCTTTGGTCGCCAGCTGTTAGCTGACGAAGTCTCTAATTCCATACAAATTTGTTATTAGGATGAGAAATTTCCAATTAATTTTGCTTGTATCTGGACGCATAAATTTACGGCCCAGCGTTGTTACTTGGATTAAAATGAAGTCTTTTGAATTATATCGCTATTGTACTCGAATGCATCACCTTCCTATTGGCAAAAAATATTTATAACAATTTAGAATGCGAATGTCATTTATGCTGTTGGCAGTGATAACTTTTTTTTGGTTCAAGGCAAACTTGATGCATAATTTAATTTTAGTTTTATCTTGAGTTCCTCTAAATTATCCTCGTAAGTATCTAAAGTATGTTATCCAATTGCATAATTAAGAACTCGGTGAAGACGACCCTAAAATTAATGCTAAAACACAAGGCTTGGCTGTTTACTGCATTTCTAACAGATGAATTATTACGTGTATAATTCTTACAAGATAAATATTACTCCATGTGCGATAGTATATGACAAGCTAAGTACTCGAGTGTTCATTCGTATGCGTGTACGTTAGCTATGCAGTTCAAGGACCAGGTGATGCAAACAATTCCGACGTCTCGTCGCAAGAGTAGAAGATAAATGGCCGAAATTGCCTGCTGCACATTCTCGTGCCAATGACTTGTGGGTATATTTATGTGCCGAGCAAGGCCATGACGTACGTTGTCCGTTGGCACTCCGTTCCTTCCGTCAGCCAGAGTGAGAACATTATAACATTTTTGTTTCGAATTAACATGTTTGGAACGTGGTTACATGGTAGAATAATGCCAAAACACGCTCAGCAATGAGATAGATAATATTTAAACATCTTTATTTGTAATAAAAATTTGTTGAATGTTTCATGCATAGTTTTCGAGTTTTTACGATAGCTTTTTTGATAAAAATTTTGTTTTCTCTGTCAGCTACATGCCTGAATAATCTGAAAGGCGTTATTTTCTAATGCTAACATGAAGAATGTGGAAATATGATCATTTTGAGACGCTTTACTGATTGATTTCAATAATTCCCTTGAGTTGCTTCAGCCTCTGTTTACCTGCGTTTTATTTGATAACCTTGCACGCGATTGAATCGCGGACTGTTTTTTTGTGTGTGTGATCTTTGTTGCGCAGTTCAGTTGTGTGATCTTTCTTGCGCGCAAAGTTTGGTTTATATAATATTAAATCTAACACATTTTCTTGCTTTCTCTTTTTTTGAGAATTTCCTTTTCCGCCCCTTTTGAATTTCCTCATACCACTCAGTTCCATGTGGCTGACATTTGTCTTTAGATTATTTCGCTTCATTGTTATAACTTACGTCTTACGTGCGGTTTTATTATTCAACTTAGGAAGAAGATAATGACAGTTTTTTTGCCCTGAGTGTACGCCGTAGTGCGTTTCTACGTAAAGGTGCGTCTTGTTAGTCAAGTGGTTGAGTATCACATTACGCTCGGCAGTCGGAGACGCTCGGCGCCCGGAACCAACTGCTCTCTTGTTTTTACTGTCACGGTCAAGGCACGCCGGCGCACAATGTAGCGGAAGTAGCAGCTTGGTAACGGTTGCTGTTTCTTGTCGGTTTGCTGGGGCGGGCGAGTGTCTCTTACTAACCCTGAGCTCGGCGACAAGTGTTAGCTCTGCAAGTGTTTCCGAGCTGTCAAGGTTGAGCTGAATTCATCAATGCTTTCCCGTTAGCAGCTTTTTGTAATTGTGATGTGCGTCACATGATATTTTTACAGTTATTTCTAGGCTCAATAGTTTGCTGAACTTGACGATTGATTTTTTAAACCAATTACTAGACCATCATTTTTTCCGTGTTATAGCATAACATAACATAACATAGTGATCTCGGCGCTGAGCGTAGGCCTGATGTAAGCAAGTGTTTTCAATGATGAATGTTCGCATTCACGGGAATTTTTTGAGCACTTTTCTCGCTGGAGCCACACTTCTTTGGTGAACTTCCCTTGTCCTATAAGCTTACGAATTTTTATCGTTGTCCTAATTTATTACGGAATTTATCTATAATCTTTGCACAAATGACCCTGTTATCTGCAAGGCGTTTGAGCAGGTTTTGACTGTGCCGTGTTTGTTGCAGAGATTTTTGGATGAACGGCCAGGTAGTCAACGCCACTTGCTGGTGCGAGACCTGACCAACGGCACCACGCCCCTCATCATCGCTGCTAAAAATGGTCACCTCGACTGCGTCGCGTACCTCGTAGACAAATGCAAAGCCAACATCGAACAAGTCGGATCAAGTGAGTACCTCCTATACTAGGTTAGTTAATCTCTTGTAGACATATTAAAGTTTAGTATATTACAATTAGTCATTGTAAGACTAAATTATTATTACATTTATTCATTGTAATACTAACTTATTATTACAATTATTCGTTGTAATATGATCGGTATTTCGAATTTTTCTTCTACGTAGTTAAATGGTAAGATTTGTGATTCCCTTTTCATGCATAGAACAAAAATATTACAAAATTATAAGAGACGACCGAAAGTTCTGGGCTATCCGGTTGGTTCTTCTTGGGTTTGAACGACTAAGATGAATTACTCAGACACATGTCATATGCATGATTATTATCCCAACCTGGAGCCTCGATGATGAAGGGTCAAATCTTTCTTCGATATTATATTTATCATATTTTAAAATCTATTCGTATTTGTATCGTTTGAATGACTTTCGTATTCTGAAACCTTGATTTTTTCCGCGTCACCTCATATGATTCATTATGCAGATTGTGTGTCAGTATAAGAGTTCTTCGTGCGCATGTCTTCTGTTGCAGCCAAACTTTTCTCATTGAAATTATCTGGTCTTTGCGAATATCTAAGTGTTGGAGACTGATGTACATTTTTTGTATATGGTAGCTCTTCTGAAGGTTACACTCGCCTATCTGGTTTAAGTAAAATTATTTTGTTTCTGTTATTCAATTTCTGTCGTCAACGGAGGTTTAGAACAAATATTCAATCGCAACTTTCTCTCCGAATATTACATGCACTATTCCTCATCTGACCTCGAAGTATTTTGCGTGCCACTGCGGTTGTATCGTTATAAGAAAATGATGGGCGTTGCGTTAGATAAGTTTACCTTTACAAAGCCTAACATATTATAGGAATGCGCTCAAAATATTGTCTAATCGATTAAATTAACTATAAAAAATGAACCTAAGGATAATATATATTGATTTTTTTGTCGCTACAGTTGTGTTTGACGGCGAAACAATCGACGGTGCGCCAGCGTTATGGGTAGCGGCAGCGGCAGGACACCTGCACATCGTAGCGTTCCTGTTGGGCCGCAACGCCAACGTCAACGCCACCACCAAGAGCAACTCGACGCCACTTAGGGCTGCTTGTTACGACGGACATCTTGATATTGTCAAGCATCTTGTGGACAACAATGCCGGTGAGTGGCGTGCTTATTTCACGTGTAATGGCCAGGCCACAGTCCCGTGACAGCGCACTCGACCGCTGCGCGATCTGCGCCTCGCCGGTCCATCGGAGGTCCAAAATCTATCCGATTGTCGCTTCTCGCTGCCTCAAAGAAAAGTGTCTTTGCATGCATCGCTTCTAACTGCATCGAATAATAGGTTCATTAACTGCAGGGTACTCTTGTCAGTAGTTGTGTTGTGGTGTTTATGGGAGACCTTCACTGTTAGGTATCATGAAACGTCCCGAATTTCTGGTAGTTGACCCTTTACCTGCGGAAGCGTTGGATGCCGACAATAATATTCAAATATTTGTACGTGACAAAATAAAAAATCCTTGTGGTTGAATTACTTGTAAACCATCAAAGTTGATCACCATAGGACAGATTAATGAGCTCAAAAATTACGCTTTCGAATATGACGTGCACGGCGTCGGCGTGGACTTGAAGTTTACGTAATTAACCAATTTTCACTCAGCCTATTGGTAACGAATATTTTTTGATCGTCAAGCGATCACATAGTTCGCCTATGAGCGTTAAATCAAGTATCAGTCAACCGGACCACGCAGTCACAAAAGAATAGTTAGTGCAACCTCTGTCCAGCGTAAAGGTTGCACTTCAAAGAAGTTAACAATACGCCCGATTTTGAAGATAATAGATACGCTCACTCCGGTACGAAAACATAGCAACGAATCGAGTGCTCTGACAAAAATATCTATGAAAATTATTGCTGCTCTAATGTCATCATTAACGTGTGATTTTTATTTTAGCTAATATTTGTCATATTTTATTTGTAATTTGTCTTCTCTAATATCGAGTGAAGTAGTTTTGAGTGACGCAAAGCAACTTTATTCGCCGCATCATTCTTATCGCTCGGAGAGACCTTGACGCATAGACGCTATCTTCTGGAGTGGCGCTGCATGAGCAACGTTCAAGTATATCTGACTTATTGCCATTCATTTATAAATGAATAAATAACAGCAACTCACATTACTATGAATGTTTTAGCTTTCCTTGAAGATAGCGTTGCATTTATCAAGGCTAAATAGGTTTCTTTTGATTGGTAACCGCGTAGAGCTGTAGGAATTGTGTAGATCATCGGCCGACGATGAGTATCGGAGAGCGGCATCAGCCTGACCATGTGTGGCAACCTGCAGCGACTTGGCGTTTAGGACATTCTTGTTCATCGAACGCAGTTAGTAACGCAGTTTGTACTATCGCAGTTTGTAACGCAGTTAAGGGCATACCTTTGCATCGGACGCATTTTGTAACGCAGTTTGTAACGCAGTTAGTAACGCAGTTTGCAACGCAGTTTGTAACGCAGTTTGTAACGCAGTTTGTAACGCAGTTTACAACGCAGTTTGCAGCGCGGTTTGCAACGCAGTTTGCAACACATTTTAGCGAACTCTTTTGCATCGAACGCCGTGCGCAACGCAGTACACCACAACGTCGCAGTACTTAACGTTTTACGTAGAAATCTATATCATACATTTTTCTTTGGGCATTTTTTGTTTTGTAATTTTCAGTATGAATTATTTTCTTACATATATAGTTTGCGGCTATTTTAATCGATAAATGTCTGATTGCAGTTTAAGGTGGAATCATTCGCTAACTTCTGATCCGCTAAATATTTTATTAAAAAAAACAGAACACCGTAAAACTGGTGGCCCTCGGAAATGGGCATTCGCTTGTTATCCTCTCAAATTTCTTGTATTCGAGATTGTGAATGCATGTTTATCGTTCATCGGTTGACTTTACGAGACTAACTGTGATGATAATCTCTGCAGACATTGAAATAGCGAACAGACACGGCCACACGTGCCTCATGATCGCGTGCTACAAAGGGCACCTGGACATCGCTCAGTACCTCGTCAGTCTCGGTGCTGACGTCAACAGGAAGAGCGTCAAAGGCAACACCGCCCTGCACGACTGTGCGGAGAGCGGCTCCCTCCAGATCATGAAGCTTCTCCTCGACAACAACGCTAAAATTGATGTTGATTCCTATGGTGAGAACTTGAACAAATTATACGTCTTTTCTATTGGGTCAGTCGCATTGTTTTTTGGTAGTTTTATGTCCGTTGTAACTTAAAAATTGTTTGATGCACTGCACCACTACAGGCATCTTCGTGTACACGATCTTTCGAATACATGTTCTGTGCAAATATACACGAGCTGCCTTGTCCACTTGCTGTGTCTTGTCCACTTGCCAGAGCTGTCTTGTCCACTTGCCAGAGCTGTCTTGTCCACTTGCCAGAGCTGTCTTGTCCACTTGCCAGAGCTGCCTTGTCCTCTTGCCAGAGCTGCCTTGTCCTCTTGCCAGAGCTGTCTTGTCCACTTGCCAGAGCTGTCTTGTCCACTTGTCAGAGCTGTCTTGTCCACTTGCCGTCTTGTCCACTTGCCGTCTTGTCCACTTGCCAGAGCTGCCTTGTCCTCTTGCCAGAGCTGTCTTGTCCACTTGTCAGAGCTGTCTTGTCCACTTGCCAGAGCTGTCTTGTCCACTTGCCGTCTTGTCCACTTGCCGTCTTGTCCACTTGCAAGAGCTGTCTTGTCCACTTGTCAGAGCTGTCTTGTCCACTTGCCAGAGCTGTCTTGTCCACTTGCCGTCTTGTCCACTTGCCAGAGCTGTCTTGTCCACTTGCCAGGTCCTGAATTGTTCGACTGTTGACCGTAGCTATTACGTGCAGGCATGACCCCGCTGCTGGCGGCAGCAGTCACGGGTCACGGGCACATCGTCAAGTATCTCATCTCCCGAGCCGACCTCGTCCAGACTCGCCAGAAAATAGACGCGCTCGAGCTCCTCGGCGCCACCTACGTCGACAAGAAGAGGGACTTGCACAAGGCAAAGAAACTCTGGCTGGAAGCCCTGGTTGAAAGGTAATTATCAAGATATTGTTGTTCGCATCTATCGTACTAAAATCTTGATGGTATTGTATTGTTAGCACGATATTGTTTCGAGCCTATAATTATAACTTTACTTTAAGCCTATTCTTTTCAACGAACTATTAATTTTTTGCTCCTAGCTCACTTGTTAGCGAAAGTGTTGCACTTAGTTTAATACACTATTTGTGAAATGTATGCCTTACTCCCGGCGTCTCCGTTCTCTTAAAGTATTGTTACACTGAGTAAAGACCTGATGTTTATCTGCACAGATGTCGCAGTGGCCAGGTGCTGCAGAAGTCATCGCTGCCGTGCCACGCGGCCTACAACCACGCCGTGGAGGTGACGACAAGCGAGCAGCTCGAGGAGCTCAGCTCAGACCCCGACGCCATGAGGATGCAGGCGCTGCTGGTGCGGGAGCGCGTGCTCGGTCCCGCCCACCCCGACACGAGCTACTACATCCGATACCGCGGCGCCGTCTACGCCGACAGCGGCAACTTCTCCCGCTGCACCACGCTATGGATGTACGCCCTCGACATGCAGCAGAAGATACTTGAGGCTCTCAGTCCCATGACGCAGAGCTCCTTCGTGTCCTTCACTGAACTCTTCGCTTTTATGCTCAACGATGGACCGCGGTCTAGGGCTGCGCTCATCGAGAATTTCGAAGACATGCTCTTAGTTCTCGAAAAAGCCATTGACGAAGTCGAGAAAGGTCTCCAATATTTTGCCCGTCCTTACATCGTGTCACGGAATGTTCAAAAGACCAGAATTCAATTGAAATGCAACCCTAGTAATATTTTGAGCAACAGCAGCAGGAATGTGGACAATCTGCAGAGCAGTGCCGACGCCGCTAACACAAGTCCCATCTTACCAGGTCACCGCTACATGGCGAGCTCCGTAGACAAAGATGGCACGCACCTCCGCCGCACTGTAATGGTAACCCTGCAGATCATCTACCTCGCCACCAAACTCTACCCCAATATGACCAAGGAACATCATCAAAAACTACACGAAGTTGTTTATAGATTAGTAAAACTTGACCCTAGAACATCGAATAACTATAGCCTCCTGCATATGGCCTGCTCAACAGAAACTATGGCAACCGTCGGTCGTCATCCAGTAGGTATCTTCCCTAACCGTGAAGTTGTAGAAATTTTGCTCAAAGTAGGTGCCGATACTATGTCTCTAGATAATAATATGAACACCCCACTTCATGTACTCGCTCAAACCCGATGTCCTCAGTCTATATTTAAGTTACTTCTTGCCTACGGAGCTCACTACGATGTTGCAAACAAAGATGGCGACACTTTCGAACACATAAGGAATCTTAACGAAAAGAACGTCAAGCACGACGAGGGCTTCATCAATCCAGTCCCACACGTGAGCCTCAAATGTCTCGCAGCGCGGGCCATAAAAAAGTACGAAGTAAGCTTGCCTTTCCCACTCCACTCTCGTATCGAAAAGTTTATTGATATGCATTCATCATACTAAGTTTGTTTATTTGGTTATTATTAGTCACTCATTAGTGCGTCAAATGAATACGCCACCTCCGTGTCAGATGTACCTAATGTTTTTGGTGATATTAATATTACGAACACCGTAGTTTTAAGTTCATCACACGGTCCTGATTGAAAATATAACGCGCGCAAAATGCGTTTTAAAAATTGTTTATGGTTCAAAATCTTTTTACCTGTTTGCACGATATTGTTCAATGACTGGCTATGATGCTCGAGGTGATGATTGTATTGACTGATAAGCCTGAAATTTGGCTCAATCTCAGCATTAGAGAAGGTTTTCTTCCTCTGCTCTCTACTGTGTTTTTTCATTTTGACCATCAATGCTCGGTGGAATTTCCACGTGATTATTTTCATAAATCGCTTGTCATCACTCAAGGATACAAGTATAATTAATTAATGAATAACGAACACGAGGACCACTATAAAACACGGTCTCTTATGTGCAGATGATCCGAATTTTTCAATACACGAGTCATGGCTCGAATTTTTCTCATGCCTGCTGATCATTGAGTGATATTTGTGAGCCTTGTTATTTGCTGTAATCAATACTATTTGTGCACGTCTATATTTTTTCACTGCTATGCTCTGGTCAGTCATTTATTTCGCTCAAACTATGTTCCTTTTGATTTTATGTTTAGGTAATTTCGCCCGAGCATTTCACGTACTTAGTTTCTGGTTTTAAACGCACTTTTAATTCTCTCTTTTTATGCTCTGCCGACAAATTTGTATCTAACTGCTTTTTTATAGCGTCACTGCAACGCTGATCAATCTCCTTATTTTTAATTTTGACTCAGGTGTAGGCGTTGTATACGTCAGTGTGGCAGCTTCTTACTAGATCGCCTGTCATTACGGCGTTGCAACAATTAGTTTATCCAATATCCTCTATTGCGTGTGGATGATTTGTGAGCAATCCTTGTCTTAAAGCAATGCTAGGACAGGATTTAATGCGTTGCCTCTGGCGAGCATGTAAAATTAATACTCGGAATTTCTTACTGCGTTTATCACGCTGCTGTTCTTTGATTATACTTTGAAGTGCTCAGCATCTACTTCCAGGCAAGTTTTGCATTATTTTAATAATGAATACATGGATTATTCATGACTTTTTACATGAACTTGAGTGTGTTTCTGTGTGTTTTAAAGCCACTACAATTTTAGGACACGTCGGGACTGCACTCGCTTCTGAACAATTACAGCCACTAAATTGTCCATCTTTAATAAGGCTTGATTTTCGTCGACGTAACCAGTCCAGAAGAAACTCATGATTGAGTGCCAGATTGTCTTACTTTTTATTTGTCCCTGAGTTGTGAATTACTGGTTAAGAAATTTAATACATTAAGCCGTCCAATAAAGCGCCAAGTTACCTATACGACCTTTTAATTTTCCTTTTGTACCGGTAAGGCATTCGGTTGGATAATTTTATTCGAATATCAATGACCACAAGTGTCAAAAATAAAAGTGTTCGGTCGCCAAAATAAACTACCGATGCTCAGTAGACTAACGAATAAACAGGAAATTGAGCGTGAAAAATGCATAGCCCATGGCAAATAGTGCCGCTAACTGCACAAGGTGCTTTTACAGATTGATGTATAAATTCTTCGGGCAGGGTAAGCCAAGTGAAGTGGGCAGGGTAAGCCTAGTGGGCGATATCGGTAAGCCGATATCGCCCAAAGTGGGCGATATCGCCCCCCTAGGGGCGGTGGAAAGATTTTGGGGGGCGGTAAACGGAAGTCAATGTCAGTCAGAAGCGCGAACATTTGTTTGACGATTTGTACACAACACGTGCAGCACATGACTCCCAGCGATGGCTTTTTCACCCAGATCTGTTTTTAACCTCTCCTGGGTTTACGTCTTGGACAAATTAACGGCCAGACTCGCGGCCGGTCTCACGGCCAATTTCCAAATTCAATGATCAAGGAATATCTCTGAAACTGATTAACTTAACTCGATTAAACTTGATACACGTATTCATTAGGACCTAACAATAATGTTTTGCTCGTTAAAATTTTTCAAATTTTGCCATCGTTTGTTTTTGCCATAGTTATATCACTTATATGGCAATACGGGCCGAAATTCACAGCGATCAAGTAATTTTTTCCAAACTACTGAACAGATTTGAACGAAATTTTGAATTTGCAGTCCTAACTACCGAACGGTAATGTTTAGCTCGTGAAAATTTCTTCGATTGTGCCTTCGTTCGCGAGTTTTTTTTTTTTTTTCATTTCACCTTCATTCGTGATTTAAACAGCAATACGTACTTAAATTAGCAATAATCAAAAAAAATTTTCCAAACTACTCAACAGATTTGAACGTAACTTAGTATTTAAATACCTAACCTCAGCAACGGTGATGTACACAATCAATTTTTTCGTTTTGCCTTCTTTTGCGATTTATACGGCTATACGTATAAGGCTCTTGGTTAAACCGACCGGTAGAAAAGCCGGTCGTTCCTCCTATATCTGCCTAACTCGCGAACGAAAGCAAAATAGAAAAGTTGTCACGAGCTAAACATCACCGTTGAGCGGTTACCGGTTAGGTATTTATATACAAAGTTTCGTTGAAATCTGTTCTGTAGTTTAGAAGAAATTTCTTGATCGCCGCGAATTTAAGTGACAAATTACCCGGCGATACGGGCCGAATATAAGGATGTGTGAAATCAAGAATGACGGTGAAATGAAAAAAAAAAAACTCGCAAATGAAGGTAAAATCGAAAAAAATTTATAACTAAAAATTCACCGTTTGGTAGTTAGGAATGAATATTCAAAATTTCGTTCAAATCTGTTCAATAGTTTGTAAGAAATTCTTTGATCACTGCGAATTTCGGCCTGTTTCGCAATATACGCGTAACTCACGAATGAAGGCGAAATTAAAAAAAAATTTACGAGCTAAACATCACCGTTAGGTTCTGATGAATACGAGTTCCATGTTTCGTAGAGCTGCGTTCATTAGTTTGGGAGATATTACTTGATAATTGAATTTGGAGATTGGCCGTGAGACCGGCCACGAGTCCGGCCGTAAATTCGCCCGAGACGTCTTAGGTTTCTAGTGCTGAAACAGTTAAAACAGCTGAAAAACATATTGGTTCACTAAATGGGGTTCTATTTGTGAAATACACATTTGCGTTTAACCTTTATCTTTTAAAATTGCAGCGTACTAACTTTCAAGAAAGAGGCGTATGTCTGTGGGGTGCGCTATAAAATTCACTAGGGAGCCAAAGGGGGCGCCAGCCTGAAAAAGTTTGGGAACCACTGTTCTAAGGTATAATATAATTAAGTCTCCTATCGTTTGATCGTGTTCACAAGCAGAATTTACTTGTGTTCAGTTTAAGATTATAGTAATACACTCAGTAAATATTTTGTTGATTGTAGGGTATAATATATTTGAGTTTCATATTGTCTGATCGTGTTCACAAGCAAATATCGCTTGTGTTCAGTTCAAGATAATAGTAATATGCTCAGCAATTTTTTGAATATAGTAAGGTATAATATATTTAAGTCTCCTATCATTTGATCATGTTCAGGTGCAGAAATTGCTTGTGTTCAGTTTAAGACTATAGTAATATGTTCAGTAACATTTTGTCCTCTGGGATATAATATATTAGAGTAAACTAACGTTTGATCGTGTTCACAAGAAATATCGCTTGTGTTCAGTTTAAAATTATATTAATAAGCCAGTAACTTTTTTGTAAATTCTAAGCTATAATATATTTAAGTCTCCTATCGTTTGATCATGTTCAGAAGCAAGATTGCTCGTGTTCAGTTCAAGACTATAGAAATATGCCCAGAACATTTTTTATTGCTTCTACGGTATAATTTATTTTAGTCTCCTATCGTTTGATCGTGGTCACAAGCAGATATTACTTGTGTTCAGTTTAAGACTATAGTAATATGCTCAGTAACGTTTTGTTTAGTATTATGTTTAAGTCTCCTAACGTTTGATCGTGTTCAGAAGCAATACCGCTTGTGTTCAGTTTAAGATTATATTAATAGGCTCAGTAACTTTTTGTAAATTCAAAGCTATAATATACTTAAGTCTCCTATCGTTTGATCATGTTCAGAAGCAAGATTGCTCGTGTTCAGTTCAAGACTATAGTAATGTGCCCAGTTATTTTTTTATAACGTCTAGTGTATAATATATTTCAGTCTCCTATTGTTTGATCCTGGTCAGAAGCAGATATTGCTTGTGTTCAGTTTAAGACTATAGTAATGCGCCCAGTAATATTTTATTTATTGTAGGGTATAATATATTAAAGTCTCCTATCGGCTGATCGTGTTCACAAGCAAATATCGCTTGTGTTCAGTTTAAGATAATAGTAATATGCTCAGTAATTTTTTGAATATTGTAAGGTATTAATATATTTAATTCTCCTATCGTTTGATCGTGTTCACAAGCAGAATTTACTTGTGTTCAGTTTAAGATTATAGTAATACGCTCAGTAAATATTTAATTGATTGTAGGGTATATTATATATTTGAGTTTCATATTGTCTGAGCGTGTTCACAAGCAAATATCGCTTGTGTTAAGTTAAAGATAATAGTAATATGCTCAGTAATTTTTTGAATATTGTAAGGTATAATATATTTAAGTCTCCTATCATTTGATCATGTTCAGGAGCAGAAATTGCTTGTGTTCAGTTCAAGACTATAGTAATACGCTCAGTAACATTTTGTCCTCTACGGTATAATATATTCAAGTCTCCTAACGTTTGATCGTGTTCACAAGCAATATCGCTTGTGTTCAGTTTAAGATTATATTAATAAGTTAGTAACTTTTTTGTAAATTCTAAGGTATAATATATTTAAGTCTCCTATCGTTTGATCATGTTCAGAAGCAAGATTGCTCGTGTTCAGTTCAATACTATAGTAATATGCCCAGTAATTTTTTATTTTATCTAGGGAATAATATATTTTAGTCTCGTATCGTTTGATCGTGGTCACAAGCAGATATTGCTTGTGTTCAGTTTAAGATCATAGTAATATGCTCAGTAACGTTTTGGTTAGTATAATATATTTAAGTCTCCTAATGTTTGATCGTGTTCGCATGCAATATCGATTGTGTTCAGTTCAAGATTATAGTATTAAGCTCAGTAACTTTTTTGTTTATTCTAAGGTAGTGGTTCAAAAAGTGGGCGATATCGCCCCCCTAGGGGCGGTGGAAAGATTTTGAAGGGCGGTAGGGGGCGGTAAACCGTAGTCAATGTCAGAAGTGCGAACATTTATTTGAGTATTTGTGCACAACACGTGCAGCACATGACTCCCAGCGATGGTTTTTTTTCACCCAGATCTGTTTTTAACCTCTCCTGGGTTTACGTCTTGGACAAATTAACGGCCAGACTCGCGGCCGGTCTTACGGCCAATTTCCAAATTCAATGATCAAGGAATATCTCAAACTAATGAACTTTACTCGATTAAACTTGGTACACGTATTCATTAGGACCTAACAATAATGTTTTGCTCGTGAAAATTGTTTGAATTTTGCTATCGTTTGTTTTTGCCATAGTTATATGGCAATACGGGTCGAAACTTACAGTGATCAAGTAATTTCTCCCAAACTACTGAACAGATTCGAACGAAATTTTGACTTTGTAGTCCTAACTACCGAACGGTAATGTTTAACTCGTGAAAATTTCTTCAATTGTACCTTCGTTCGCGAGTTTTTTTTTCATTTCACCTTCATTCGTGATTTAAACAGCAATACGTGCTTAAATTAACAACAATCAAGAATTTTTTCCAAACTACTCAACAGCTTTGAACGAAACTTAGCATTTAAATACCTAACCTCAGCAATGGTTATGTACACAATTTTTTCGTTTTGCCTTCGTTTGCAAGTTATACGGCTATACGTATAAGGCTCTTGGTTAAGGGGACCGGCTACCCTCCGGAAAAACTTCTACAGTTATTATCCGATCATCATGAAACTTCACATACATACGTAAAATGTAAAAATAAGAACATTTTGCTTCTATGAATTTTTCAAAAAAATTGATAGAAAACGTGAAATTCATAGAAAACGGCTAAAAAGGGGTACTTTAGAAAATCTATCTCCTCCTACAAATATCATCCTACAACCTGTCTCTTATACACATCTAGATGTGTATAAGAGACAGGCTAATTACTTTATATCTAATTACTTAAAGAACTCTCTCACCCGCTTCCCTTTAAAGAGACGTCATGAACGTAAATATTTGCGTACAGCGATGGCAGTGGTACCATTGGAAAGAGCCGAATTCCAGCTTTCAGATGAGCACAAAAACCGAAAAACGCCAAAATTGAAAATTTTAGGGTAGCCGGTCCCCTTAAACCGACCGGTAGAAAAGCCGGTCGTTCCTCCTATATCTGTATAACTCGCGAACGAAAGCAAAATGGAA